ATCCAACGCTGGTTGGCATGGTAGGACAGGGGCGTCCGCCGGTCCTGCCGTCTCACTCAAGGACGCTGTGTGGAGGGAAGTGAAGGCGGACGGTCAGCTGCAGGAGACGCGATCGGCGATGCAGGATGAGCACGGCACTCCCTGGAGTAGTGGCCCACATGGCCACACCTGTAACACGTGATGGGAGGCCGCTGGTGCAGCAAATCTTCGTCCCGGAGCGGTTGGTAGACGTTCTGACGACGTTGACCATCCTTAGGTCGCTAGTTCCACGGAGGGACCGCTGCCGCAACGTCACCTTCCGACGGTGCCTCGGCGGGGATGACAACCACCTTGGATGGACGCCAACCGATCAGTTGACAATTACGAGCCGGGTCCCCTGTCCATGTCGCCATCTGCACCCACTGCTTAAAATTTTCACGTGCGTTAAGGCAACACGCGGCCCACAAGGATGTCTTCGATTCATGGCCGCATGTGGGAAGGACACCACCCATCTCCCTAGCCAACGCCAATATGCGGTCCATCACCAGCGGATCCAAGATTTCCTGTTGTACATCGGGGTAGGCATCAACTGCCATGGCCATCAAAGTACTTCTGTAGGCGAGGGGCGACTCCGAGCTCCTATGCCTACGGTGCTGAAATTTTCTTGTTCTGTCGTCTAGCAGCTCGTAGACTTTCGCCATCTCCTCAATAGCTTATTTGAGCATCTTTTTCTTCTCCGGGGGAATGGAATGGAAAACAGCCAATGCATCATCGTCCAGCATGGTGGGCAAGGCAATGAGCGCCTCCTCCTTCGACCAGTGGACCGATTTGTAGGTGGCCTCGAAGCGCCACCGGAAGGCACTCCAATCACCACCAACTGCCACGAACTCTCGCACTTGGGGCAGGCATCGACCACGATCGGCGCTCTCCTTTGCAGTGGGTGTTGCGATGCTTGGCGAATCCCTGTGCAGCAGCGATAAACTGGTGGCCGACGCACCGCTCTCCTCCGCAATGTTCAAAATGGCGGCCATGACACGCATGGCTGGCGTTGACTGTGAAATGGCGGCCGTTTCCACCCCACCCGAGATGGCGGCTGTGTTTCCCAAGGGGGGACCCTCCGAGGCACCATCGCCGGTCCTCTGCATGTTCACCCCTGGACGGTCCACCACCGGACTTCCTCCAGCGGCGATCGGCGTGACGAGAGTGACAAGGTGGAAGAGCGCTATTGTCAAAGCGCCCAGCTGCGTCTCCACCCTCCGCCACAAATCGTCAGGGCGAAGCTGATGTGAAGACTACGCCGCGCCGTCCGCCACAGGTGCGACACCGGCACCTATCATGGGCTCCATAACCGGGACCACACAATCCGGGGTCGGCAGGAGCTGAATCGCCGTCTCGTCACCGGAAAAGGACACTGTATGTGGATTCTTCTTATTCTGGTGTTTGGACATTGTGTCTTTAGTAGAACACTGCCAGAAAAAGTCCACTATCTGACACCACTGTATAATTGGCTCCGACACGGTAAGTAACTTCAAGATATTTATTAAATCTTCAGTACAGCCACCCTCTCTTCCTGCGGATGTCGACCCGCTCTTGTGGCTCCGCTGCCCCGCGCCATGTGGCGCTCACCCCGCTCGCTAACGCACCGCCTGGCTGGCGGCGCGCTATGGAGCGGCTGAGCGGCTGGAGGTCGAGCCTCTATGTGGCAGGTGGAATGGTGGGGCAGCAGCGACGGAGAGCTCCTCTTCGATCTTCAAACACCGACCTCGCACGTTGCTGTACCCGCTGCTTATATTCCCTTATCGAAGGCTAAGCCCCGCCTCTGGCCACGCCCCTCTTGGAACCTTCGAGAACGTTCCGGAGGCTTCCCTCTTAGATCCGTCCATTCACCTTTCACCCAGACAGAATCCCTACTATAGATAATTATACGTGGACTGTATGAATATAAATGTAACCCCCACAATACTCCAGGAGATGGCGCTCACTTATTACACATTGAAGCTACTTTAGGTTTCATCATGATATAAATACAGTATATACACAGCAATGTTTTTACTACAGTAAATGGATTAGCACATTTCAAAAGAAGCAGTTGATTTTGAAAATGATGTAGTTAAACACGTACATATACAATTACATCATTTAATTACTTAATAGTAAATGTATATTGAAAACAATTGAGACATTAAAACATAAGGGACGGTATAATACACATCTTGAAGATATTTTAAGTCAACTAGACAGAACCACATATCCAATAGTTAGATGTTAATAACGTCTGAGCAAATGGCACAGTGGCCTTATCTCCAGAATAAAAACAATAAAAGAAATAGGACCCAAATTAATTTAATTAGATGTGACATTTATTCCCGTTCCCAAAATGTAACTGCGCTAACATCTTGCACCCATCATGTACTCTGTTAATCTCTCTGACTATAACTCTTTACTGTTGCCGTTTTGATTGTTATTTCAGCAGATGCTGTGGATAATAGTGAAACGATAAAACGTATGATCCTGTGGTTAAAATTAGTGTAATAATGTTACACAATTCAGTGTCAGTCTATCATAACTACATTTGTATAGCACCTTTAACATATCAGCCCGAAGTACTTTCTATACTAGGAATATATTGAGAAGAACTACAATTGAATTTACTTGCGTTACATGGTATTTGAAAACAAAATCTATTTTTCTTCTTGGTTCTTTCGGTAAAGTCACGTAGAAGGGAAGTAATAAAATAATAAAAATAAAACATAATAAAATAATTCTCACGACGTTTCGGCCACAACGCAAGCAGCCGTCCTCAGGTGAAGAACATGTCTGTCGATAAGACAGAGTCTAAATGACACGTCTTAGGCTTGGAGTGTCTATTTAAGCTGTGAGGGAGGAGGAAGAGAGCCATGACAAAAGAATTTGCATTTGAAGAGGGATTTAGCATATTTATGGGAAATGCAGGAATGCGAATAGTGCTAATTGTGAAATGCGTGGGAGGTGGGCGGGGGGGTTTTCAAAAGCATATTATGCCCATGCAATATGCAGGATTAGCAGCATGAAAGGGAGGGGGCAGGGGCAGGGGCAGCACCAACAAAGGGAAGGAATGTGAATAATATTCAGCTGCAGCAACCAAACAACCATGTAAAAAACTAAAGTATAAACTTCATAGTATCATCAGTATACTAAATATACTCTCCAATAAGCTGAGCTACTAACAGTAAGTAATACATTACAATTCTATGTCGCAAAAAATATAATATGCTTCCAGCTAAACTTTTTTCCCTTACATCAAACAGGTCTGCTCCGTACTATATGCTGCCATAGACAAACCCAACATTAAATTATATACTGTATTACTATACACCACCCTAAACCTTATACATTGTTATAATACACTATGTATTATTGTACCCACCCTAATGTATATCAAACTGCTATATATTCACTATACAATTACGATACTATATATTACTTTGTACATTGTATTAAGCATATACATGTTATACTATTTGTTATTATACGCTGGACCATTGACCGTCGTGTCAATGGGTGAGTCGTGGGGGGAAAACTTGCAGCGGAGCAAAGAATCCATTCCCTGCGGAGAATACAATGCCAGTGAGTGGAACGCGGTCTGAGAGTCACCGTAAACGTGAACACAATCAGTTAAGATCCGAAATGGTTTATTACGTCCTTCCAATGATTGCTTAGCCAGAATCCATCTTCTCGGTTGAAATTGTCTCTGTGTTTGATGTAAGGGAAAAAAGTTTAGCTGGAAGCATATTATATTTTTGCGACATAGAATTGTAATGTATTACTTACTGTTAGTAGCTCAGCTTATTGGAGAGTATATTTATTATACTGATGATACTATGAAGTTTATACTTTCGTTTTTTACATGGTTGTTTGGTTGCTGTAGCTGCATACTATTCACATTCCTTCCATTTGTTGGTGCTGCCCCTGCCCCTGCCCCCTCCCTTTCATGCTGCTAATCCTGCATAATGCATGGGCATAATATGACTTTGAAAACCTCCGCCCACCTCCCACGCATTTCGCAATTAGCACTATTCGCATTCCTGCATTTCCCATAAATATGCTAAATTCCTCTTCAAATGCAAATTATTTTGTCAAGGCTCTCTTCCTCCTCCCTCACAGCTTAAATAGACACTCCAAGCCTAAGACGTGTCATTTAGACTCTGTCTTATCGACAGACATGTTCTTCACCTGAGGACGGCTGCTTGCGTTGTGGCCGAAACGTCGTGAGAATTATTTTATTATGTTTTATTTTTATTATTTTATTACTTCCCTTCTACGTGACTTTACCGAAAGAACCAAGAAGATGAATTCCTGCAGTCACGAAAGCTTTAAATCGAAATATAAAATCCATTTTACACCATAAAGTATATAAATGTATGCTACATGTTTTAACACAGTACACACATGTGCACTGCTAAATGTTAAGTTTATGTTCATCGTTGCTGTTATTTTGTTCTCGTTGTTGCACGTTTGGCAACGTACGAAAGAAGTTCACCATATATGCAAAAAATATATACTAAGTCCTGTTTGTGTAAAAAAAAGTGCATCTTTCACTTTCTACAGGCATGCATGATTTTATTGTTTAAAATATAATCATGTAAAGCCTTTTGTCAATCCACTGCTGGATGAGACCTCCCAACACTGTCTGTAGCAGGGGTTGTCTGACCATTTATCACCATACTGGTCAGTGCAGACTGCTGAAAGGAGCGGTTATCACTCAACGCTGATGTTATCCATGGCTAGAATTTGGACAGAGGTGATTTGGGTTCATAGCACAGCGAGCTAATGACTGCATCACCCAGAATAAAGAATGCAACATTACGAATACTGTATAGCACTATCGTTGATAAATTAAATTCTGCAATTCAAAATTTTGCATTGAACTATAACTCAAACTACTTTGTTGCATTTTCTAAACGGAATCCGTAAGCAGCAGGCTATTGCGTACTTAGCATGACTGCAGCAACAGTGCAGCTACGCAATCGATGGAATGTGATGAAATCTTAATTCTTATAAGGCTTCATCAGCATATAAGAACTTGCGACATCCATTTTGGGTTAAGTTGTCTGAGCAGGGGATTACAGACAGAGGTCTCAAGTAAGTAAACTTTGTTAATGTATTACACGTGACAATTTGTAATCATTGTTTGTTATGTTTTACTACGTGATTTAGTGATTTGTCTTGTCAGAGTATAAAATATAGAAGAGCAATACCGAATATATTATGAAAACACTTGGGTTTTTCTCATTGCAAGCTTAGTTGAATGTTTTACATCGATGTGTGAAATTCCTATCTTCGTTTTTTCTCGCTTGTAAACAATATTGTAATTTAGATTTTGCAAGTATTTGTAAAATAATGTTTTTGTTAACGCTTAAAAGCGCATTTTTGTGTTTTATTCTGAATTAAATATTTTCAGAAAGCCTTTCATATTAAACGCCAGAAATGTTGCTGTTATAAACATTTGTTCCATAAGTCCTATGAAAATACTGCCAGAAACGATATTTTCACATGTATTGTATTGAAAGTGGCTTGATTTTTTTACTGCTTTTGGAAATAGTTTGCAATGTATTTCACAGTCATAGCTAAAATATGTGAACTTAGTTCCACCATTTGTCAAACCGCTGCTGGATGAAAGCCTCGTCCACATGCTGTCAGTCATGGAGGTTGTCTGATCATAGTTCAACACGCTGATCAGTGCTGTGTGTAGGTGAAAGGGGCAGCGATGACAGGTTGACATATCAATGACAACTGGTGTTAGGTGGTATCGAATTGAACTCAGGTAGTCAGGTTCACAGCACAAATGTGCGAGCAAATGTGTGAACCACTGCGCCATCACTCCCCCCTGAAAATATTTGTGTGAGTGCTTAATATTAGCAATCATGTATTCACACCTTTATAGATTCCCCTCATTAATCAACAGCTTGAATACAACGTGTGTTACGCTAAGTGTAGTGAAACCAGTGATTCTTGTTTTAATGCGTTAAACATATCGGCTGATGGGTATTTTACAGACTGACCTTAAGTTTAATGCATAGTATTGTGCCCATTCGCAGTAAGACTCAACCGCTGCATCCAACTGAAACGTATGAGCCCACACCACGCTGCCGTCCACCATGGAGGTCACGTTTTCAATGTTGCCCAACGTGACACCTACCGGGAATCCTACTAGCAGTCACAACACTACAAAATTCCCTTTTCAGGTCTCTCAACATGCAGGTGAACAGTGCTGTAGTGCCATGATTAAGATGTATGTACAGTATGTATGCTGGACTTCTTTCGCACCGCATTTCGTAATGCAAATAGATATTTTTTGGTGTAAGCGGAGGTGATGGAAATGCATCCAGTGAATGTAAATTTAACTTCTAGTTGTACGTGTTTTGTTCATCAAGTATATAACTAAATAATCCATTGTGAATTGCAAGCTAACAGCAGATACATTCATAAAATTAAAGGCTAATTATTCCTCAAAGTAATTGGACAAGGATTTTTTTAATGATGAAATCATTAATCTGTAATGTTGTTTGTAAGATGTAACAAAAATGAGTTGAATATGAATGTCTAACACCACTCACGACCTTAAAGCGTTGTTTGCATTTGATCACATAAGCATCCTTCATTTTTGTTTTTCAGCAACAGAAGAGGATCACATGAACAACGTTATTCTTGCGTGTAAGGAAAGCATATTTTCGACAAAATGTACACTCACAAGTTACTCATCTGCCGATCTTATTTATGAAATCCTACAATTGTATTTTGAGTGTGCACTTTATTTACAATCCATTGACACATTCACCACGTTAAATTGTAGTGTTGTTCTTATATTTTTTGTATAAAGTTCATTCTGTAGTAAAATCTGACATTGGAATTCTCATAAATAGCAGGGGTCTGCCACTGTACTGTATTTTGAAATCTGATAATGTGCATGCCGAGTGGAAAATAATGCAATGAGTTGGTTTTTTTGGTGTCTTTTATTTTTCCATTGCAGGCTTTGTCGCATTTATTCTGGTCCTTATTCTGCTGGTGGTCATCATCGTCACACCATTAGTGCGCCATAAGGGCAGCTACAAACCCCAGAATGAGGACACCGTGGAAGAACCAGAAATGTTCACGATGCAGGAGCCCGACAATGAATTCAGTGAGCTCTAACACACAAATAAGGGAGAGAAAACCTTTTAAGTCAGCGATGAAGAAAAATATTCTGCTGCCTATGCTGGAGGGTTACACTACACTCAGACTGTGTTGACCTCCAGTACCATTGTTTGTTATTTTTAAAGTGTAAACCTTGCAATGTTTGTATAGTCAAATTTACACTAGATAGATTAAGATGACACTTAGCATTGTTTAACTTTATTTTAGTTTCTTCAAGTTTTCAGTTATGGCTCACCTATCTTGTCAAATATTTTTGGCACCAAGTAAATTTGGAGATTTTTAGCAGATGATAAATATGAATTGATGGAGGACTCGCTTGTGACAAGTTTGTCACCATAAAGTACACTGTGGACATGCTGCATCTAACCGCTGCATCCTGGTGAAACAGTCTGCATAATTAATTAATAGACTAGTTAATAACAAATTATAGCTACTGTGACAACTGGGGTACGCATTTGCAAGCATTTACCTAATGACCCATGTAATTGAGGTTTAATTATAATAAACAATGAGCTAGCACACATCCGCTACTCATGGGATAACAGATTTAATCCCAAAAAAGTAAAATCAATGTAGCTTCTAACTAAAATGATGAATAATTAGATTTTGTTTACAGCACGAAGGGAAATTCTACATTTCTATACCAGGGGTATCTTTCCATATAACAACCACTGTTGATATGCCGCGAAGTAGTTCTAATTTGATCAACTCTGGAAGGATAAAGGGTTGAGGCAGTCCCTGACTGGAATATGAACTCATAACCTTCAAGGCTGTGAGCTCTCACTACTGGGCCATACGAGCAGACAGGATGCGAATCAGCTGGTGCCTAATTGTAGACATATGCAATAGGTTACATTTTACTATAGAGCCATACAATTTACTGAAAACCATCATAGGGGCTGCCAGAGAAATACAAAGGCTAATCAAATTATACCATTTGACTAATATTCTTGGGTCTTTCGGTAAAGTCACATAAATACAGTGAGGGAAAAAAAGTATTTGATCCCCTGCTGATTTTGTACGTTTGCCCACTGACAAAGAAATGATCAGTCTATAAATTTAATGGTAGGTTTATTTGAACAGTGAGAGACAGAATTACAACAACAAAATTCAGAAAAACGCATGTCAAAAATGTTATAAATTGATTGGCATTTTAATGAGGGAAATAAGTATTTGACCCCCTCTCAATCAAAAAGATTTCTGGCTCCCAGGTGTCTTTTATACAGGTAACGAGCTGAGATTAGGAGCACACTCTTAAAGGGAGTGCTCCTAATCTCAGCTTGTTACCTGTATAAAAGACACCTGTTCACAGAAGCAATCAATCAATCAGATTCCAAACTCTCCACCATGGCCAGGACCAAAGAGCTCTCCAAGGATCTCAGGGACAAGATTGTAGACCTTCACAAGGCTGGAATGGGCTACAAGACCATCGCCAAGCAGCTTGGTGAGAAGGTGACAACAGTTGGTGCGATTATTCGCAAATAGAAGAAACACAAAAGAACTGTCAATCTCCCTCGGCCTGGGGCTTCATGCAAGATCTCACCTCGTGGAGTTGCAATGGTCATGAGAATGGTGAGGAATCAGCCCAGAACTACACGGGAGGATCTTGTCAATGATCTTAAGGCAGCTGGGACCATAGTCACCAAGAAAACAGTTGGTAACACAATACGCCGTCAAAGACTGAAATCCTGCAGCGCCCGCAAGGTCCCCCTGCTCAAGAAAGCACATATACATGCCCGTCTGAAGTTTGCCAATGAACATCTGAATGATTCAGAGGACAACTGGGTGAAAGTGTTGTGGTCAGATGAGACCAAAATGGAGCGCTTTGGCATCAACTCAACTCGCCGTGTTTGGATGAGGAGGAATGCTGCCTATGACCCCAAGAACACCATCCCCACCGTCAAACATGGAGGTGGAAACCTTATGCTTTGGGGTGTTTTTCTGCTAAGGGGACAGGACAACTTCATCGCATCAAAGAGACGGTGGACGGGGCCATGTACCGTTAAATATTGGGTGAGAACCTCCTTACCTCAGCCAGGGCATTGAAAATGGATCGTGGATGGGTATTCCAGCATGACAATGACCCAAAACACACGGCCAAGGCAACAAAGTAGTGGCTCAAGAAGAAGACAATTAAGGTCCTGGAGTGGCCTAGCCAGTCTCCAGACCTTAATCCCATATAAAATATGTGGAGGGAGCTGAAGGTTCGAGTTGACAAACGTCAGCCTCGAAACCTTAATGACTTGGAGAAGATATACAAAGAGGAGTGGGACAAAATCCCTTCTGAGATGTGTGCAAACCTGGTGGCCAACTACAAGAAACGTCTGACCTCTGTGATTGCCAAAAAGGGTTTTGCCACTAAGTACTAAGCCATGTTTTGCAGAGGGGTCAAATACTTATTTCCCTCATTAAAATGCAAATCAATTTATAACATTTTTGACATGCGTTTTTCTGGATTTTGTTGTTGTTATTCTGTCTCTCACTGTTCAAATAAACCTACCATTAAAATTATAGACTGATCATTTCTTTGTCAGTGGGCAAACGTACAAAATCAGCAGGGGATCAAATACTTTTTTCCCTCACTGTATAGGCCTTTTTCCAAAATTTATATTAAGTATAATTCTACCAATATTTATATTTTTTCATAATAATCCATCGGGGTGTAGCATGGGGTACAAAAAAGGGTGTAACAAAACACCCTCACCCGCTGACCTCACAAACCATACAAGAAGGCAGCTAGAGATAAACCATAACATGTAATAAAACCCCAACCGTGAAGGAAGGAGCCAGGCCTTGATGAAACAACTTATCACTCCAATAAAATTAGAACAAACACACACATACCCAAAACAGCGGGGACCACAAATCTCCCCGGACGAGGGCAACATTTTTTTTATTGTTTTCTCTTTCGTTTCTTTTAATACAATGGTAAAAGTTCGGAACTTAGCGACAAGGATAAGTCGACATCATAGTCTGCCAACACACTCACCCAGATTAAAAACCAGACTGCAGTCCACATTGGTGGCCTTGCATTATTACTTACCTTATTTTACTCTCATTCACCTCACATTGTTTCTTATTGTATCTTGCTGTCTACGTGACTCTACCAAAAGAACCAAGGAATATGAATTCCAGCAGTCAAGAAAGCTTAAGTGAAACTTAGTTATATCTCCAACCTCAGGATATCAAAATATAACTCGAGTATAAACAGCACAGATCCCTGGATACAGACGGGGAACAAAGGTTAATAAAACCCTAGGAATATACGTGGTAATAACAATGGTAAATCACAAATCTTGGGAAACATAAACCAAATAATAATTATGAAGTATTAAACCGAGGGTCATCCAGAAGAGATACAAGGCTAAATAGGTCAATCACACAAGACCAAGATAAAATGTATTCCATAGAGAGAGCCTCCCAACCGATTTTTTTCTTCCAGGAGAGATAGACAAAAATGTAACACCCAGCCACGAGGTAAGAGGGGTGGAAGAATACAACCGGGCAAAAGGAACACCTTCCCTGCTTCCAGATTAATTATTACAGAAGTTGAAAAACTAGGAAAACACCTAAGGGCAATTTGCAGCATCTGTTTTCCACTGATGAAAAGGTGGCTTGAGGAGGGGGACAGGAACCAGGCTTTTAGGGTGAGACTTAACAGATTGCTTAATCAATCAGAACATCAAAGATCAAAGATCCCCCATATAGCCTTAACAGACTGTAGGGGCAAGTGCTGTTAGCGCATACACATACTTACACATACACCGGACGAACAACTGCCCCCACAGCAAAGAGCGAAATCAAAGGGATTCCGGTCCTTTGTGAGAAGGCGAGCCAGGGTAGAGAATTTCCCATATAAACAGAGACACGACACACACATTCAGTACTGCGAGCGGCAGGCTCCGGGAATCTTCCCCCGTGACAGGCACATCAGGAGGGAGCTGCATCAGCAGAAGCCTTGAGTCTACGAAGTCAACGCAAAGAGTTGAGTCTTGCTGCGGCAAAGCTCCGGGGCTGGGCCCTGCAATCGACTAAGGATGGTGTTGGGGCCGCTGGTCCCCGAAGTCCCTTCCTGCTCCGTGCCTATGGCAGGGGCTCCGCCGTTCGCCGACCCCTCGCTGCTCTGCGAGCAGCTGCTGCCGTCGCTGGGCTCATCGCCCGACGGCTCCCCTCCCTGGTCCGTCCCTCCGCGAGCTCGTGTGAGAGACATAGCTTGCCGCCCGCTCTCGTTCACCTGCAAACGCTGCGTTGTCTCTCCACCAATCACGCGCTCTAAACGGGGGTCAGGGGTCGGAGGGCGAATGACGCTGCCCTCACACCGCGCGAGTCCCTCCGGCTATAGACGGAGCGGGTACCTATGGACGCACCGACCCCTTCCCCCACGCTACGAGCGCACACACCTGCACACACGCGACACCCACTCGTGCGCCGCTCTACGCAGCGCTCCCACGTGGCGAACCGCTGTGTACACAGCACCACACGCGTTCCCACTTCTCAGCGAGATCACACGGGGACACGATCGGCTATTAATGATTTATTGTTTGCTACCTGGGACTGGTTGTTGAGTCAGTATGAATCGACGAGGCTGGCCTATTCTACTACCCCTGGACCTATTCCCTATTTATCGGCTATGATCCTAATTCGCCTTCTTACTCACTGTTAGGTGCCCACGGCGGTCCGTTGATCCCGTGCTCGCAGTGTACCTCGATGCGTCTCACGGACGTCCGGGTCGCTGGGCTGGAGAGCGTCTTGTCACCTGGTGCTGGAGTAATAGAGCCAGATCTCCCCTTTGCGCCCCCTTTTTATCCTTCCTACATCAAAGGGATGCGGCTCCCAGCGTGGTGGCGGCCCCCTCCCAGTTTTTCTTTAACAATGGGCGTGTGCCCGTCAGCGCGCGTGCGGCGGTTCTGGGCGCCCTTGCTATGCTAATCAGATGCGCTGCGTGCGTGGCGTTAATTCTAATTAATCCCTTTCTCATGCATGGCGCCTTGGTCATGCACATTATGCAGCTGCGTCCATCACAACGGCCTGCTGTGGAAGTTAAGCGCGGAGCCTCCGCATGTCTCCACCACCTGCCCCATCAATTACGCACTATGCGCCCGAGTCGCCTCTCTGATTATTTGCAATTCCTGCCTTATCCTTTAACTTCCCTAACAATGGCACCTACGTACTCGAGCCCGCTTTGGCACACTAAACTATGCCGCCCCGTCCCTCCTCTGCCTGTCTCGTCGACCCGTGGGGGTGTGTGTGGGGGGATGCGTTTCAACCGCGGTGGCCGAATGCCCTTCGCTGCGACCATACCATCTTAAGGCCGGTCGCGGTGCTGCGGTGAAAAGTAGCGTCGGGGGAGGGCGTCCAATTCCCTGGTCGCCGGAAACCGTGAAAGTTAATCCCGATAAGGGCTCCTCGGATAAAAACCGGTCGGTCAGGTGACCTCCCCTCGGAGCTCTATGGGGGGGGGGGGGGGGGGGGGAATGCGTGCGGGTGTGTTCATGTGAGGTGAGGTGAGGGGGACACGGGGTCGGCTCCGTCGCTTGGTGGTGGCGAGGTCGTAGATGGGGCGCCTGCTGAACGGCTTCGTGGCGGCGGCATCACAATGGCGAGGCTTGCCGAGTCGCGATGTGTCACCGAGTACGAGTTCGGCGCTGACAGACGAAGTATCACTCAAAGTTTATTCTACATTGAGTGCCAGCTCCCACCCAGCAGTGGCACGATCAAGGGGAAAGCAAGAGAGAAAGAGAAATAAGTGACGAGCAACGACAAACAATCAACCTGGAGAAAGGGCGGAAAGCGCCAAGCATCGACCAAGCGAGCATTGCAGAGGACCAGCCGCAGCGGACGAGCTGCGAGCACAATCGTGCACTGCCATAAAGCACGGAGCCGGAGAGAGCGCACAACCAGCGCAACCAGCTCCACCGAGCAAAGGTGTCTGCCACCAGCGAACGAGCTGCGAGCGAATCGTGCACCACCAGAGAGCACCGAGCAAAAGTACCAGCCCCAGCGACCTGCGGACGAGTGGCGAGCGCGATAGAGCACCTTCAAAGACAAGCGTCGTGCCGACTCGGCTCATCCAGCAGTGGACAAGCAGCTGCAGCTGACGCGGAGAGCGAGAGCGCCGTGTGTATGACACGCACACACACCACTCATCGCACAGGGAACACATTTTTGGTACAAGAAACGTCCAACCTCGACGTCTGCTTAACGAGAAGAGTTGAGTAAGGAGACAATCCACCCACACACACATAACACACATATCGGGACTAATAAGAGTACTCCAAAGTTATCTCTGTGTTTCAAAAAGGGTGGCCATCCTAAGGTGGTGCGTCAACTATTAGCTGATCATGAAACATTGCTGCCCATTGAGTTACGTGGATATGGTCGTTTAGAAGTATTTAGTCATTCTTTTTGTTAATTGCATAACTGTACCAATGAATTAATTATTGCTGTTTGCATGAATATTGTCACATTCATTTTTAAGAACTTTTCCCCATCGCCGTGTATGCTCACTTTACTCTGAGGAACTAACCGATTGTTCTGTTATCCAGTTTAACAAACGTGATCATTGAGGGTTAAATGTGTGGAGCAATGAGGAGGACATCTCCAGGAGTACTGTGTTGACATTCCAAACATAAGAGTTCGCATATTAGAGTGCTATGTTTCAGAAGTGTCTGAGTGGTGCTTTCCTAAGTTCATGCATAATAATCTTGATTATGAGAACTGTATCCTGCGAAGAGATCTGAATTTGGAGACCTGACATAAAAACACTAAGCCATAATCAGTCAAAGTTAAAGCGAGAATCATTGTATTATCCCGATTGATAATACCACCCTAGACAACGAAGCCGAGCTTAATCAGCATACTTACATCACACGTGCATAAACTTCATACCATTCATTGGATATATGCCTGTTTACAATTTAAACGTGTTAATTTCACCTTGCAAAGGCATTAAGAATATCTTGAGATGATTAAATGTTTCGATGTTAGAAACATTCAAATGATTCATATTGAAAATCCAAATGATATCTATATATATAAAATCGCAAATCTGTATGTCTGTATGTCTGTCTGTGTGTGTGTCTGTTTGTCTGTGTGTCGCCGGACCATACGCAGTTTCATTGGACGAAATGTGAGAGATTTGCGAGACGCGATTGGTCCGTTTGGTTTTCCACGGCGGTTGCCCCTGGCAACGGGTAGCGACGCATTCGCTGCGGGGTGGACGCCATTTTTAATTCCCGTTAAAAATATGCGCACGCATTAACACGCGACTCTGAGGTAAATTCATCAAAGTTTCACGTCATCTTCACTCCCCCCCCATGTGTGCAATTACTATTATAGGGTCGGTAGATAATAAAATTATAGCGATTAGACAGTATTATTGTAGCGCGGGGGGGGGGGGTTAACGGCCCCTGTACCCAGCCTCAGCCGGGTGGGCAATTTGGGCGAGGCCGGAGGCTCTGCACGGTACTAGGCCTCGACACCCCACCACACTATAGGCTGTACATATTACTGCACAGCGGCCGAGGAGATCGTGGCTGGGGGGGGGGGGGCAGGGGTAGCAGCCCATCTGTGTATATATGTAAGGTTATTAAGAAATATATTTTTCACCCGGGCAACGCCGGGTACTTCTGCTAGTATGTAATATAAATAGGACACCTACCATATTAAACATGTGATAAAACAATTGGCAAACAATTTTTGAGAAATTAGCATGATAAATTCTGAATACATTTACACATACATTCTATATGCAAATTGCCTTAACTTTACTGGTGACCCAATAGGATGTGGTCACTGGTAGTGATGGCCACACCAGCAGGACACTGAACTCTGCTTCGACTACCCACTTACAAGCACCAGAGCCTCCGCAGTGATGAACTCCAATGTGTCACAATCAGCACAAGTTAATCCAGTTCACGCACATGTGAATATTGCTTCAGTGAGTGCAATTGCACGCGGTTATCGAAGCATCTTCGAAACAAATTAAGTTGATGTAAACATGCTTTTCAGATGATGCATGGTAAATCCTGTTATTTTAATTATTCATGAGCACCCATTACACGACTGCGTATGCATTTTTCATTTAAACATGTCTGTTTAAATGTAATCGTGTATACTCAACAAAAGTGCAACAACCACACCTCTTGTGCCGTCCAACATTTAATTATGAAAATGAATGACTAAAAGTCAGCAGCAGATAGCAGATTTAAGTACATAACTTGTCTTAAAGCAATTGAACAATTCTACTAAATAAAAAGCAAATATTTAAGGCTATACCAACGAAGATCCTGAGTCATGGGTCCAGTTATTTTAGTGATCGCAATGTTTTTGGAAAGTATTGTTTTATTGTTCGATTAGTTGCAATTAAAACCCTGAATCTGCAGTTGCTGATATTAACGATAAGAAACCATGTAATAAAAATTATAACCAGACCCAAGACTTCGTTAAAATGGCAATTTTTCTCACCCATATTTTCGACAAAATCTGTATTCACCATGAATACCTGATCTGTGTTCACCATGAATAGCTGCTGCTTGTGCAGTAATATTACAGGAAGAGGTGAGGTGAATGGTCAAAATAAACCTAATTTCTGCATAATACAAATCTTACTTCATATATTGAATGCAATGGATGTAAAAATAGATTGGCATAAACCAGATTAGGTTGGTGTGTGATTAAAAATAAATCGTGATTAAACACACAAAACAAGTTATTCTACAACCTTTAGTAGCTAAAATATTATTTTTGATTGTATGAACCTTGTTATGACCTATTTGAGATTAAAATATATACTTTATACGCAAGTTAAATGGATCCTCGAACGTAACACTTTTAAGGTTACACATTACAAACTATCATTTTGTGGATATAGATCTACAACTTCCAACGGTGATGATGGCATCTTATAGAGGAAAATCGGTTTCGTGGTATTGGTACAACAGGAGCAAAATGTCTGATTTTTAATTGAGGCCTTAAAGTGATACACATATATGAAGCAAGTGAAAATGTTTTCATTGTTCTGGTGGATCTGTGATTATCTGTGATATGCAAAAACAAGGTGTGCAATGTCTGATGAACAAATATTGTTTATTTATTACTAGATAACATTATAATAACAAAATGCATTTGGGGACATTTCAGAAATTACAGTAAACATTTGCTCAAAATCTCATGAGAAAAGCACAATAGCACTTCATTTTAATACACAGTTAATATCCTTAGCAAAGGGAAAAGAATGCCACGGAGATGGAGGTGCAGAGTGCAGAGTGTCAAGAGAGAAGGGAAACTGCATGTGGTTGAGTGGGTGACACGAAAGCCATCATAGGGACAATACAGTTGGTGGAAGGGGAGAAGTTGAATGAGAGTCAGTACTCTGGTTCTTTCGGTAAAGTCACGTAGGTAAAAATAAAATAAAAAATAACTAAATCACGACGTTTCGAAGGCAACACAAGCTTTCGTCATCAGGTGGGACAACCACAACAATTTTTTTTACTGTAGTGAGCAGAGAGAGCTGTATGTGACAAGTGATTATTTCGGGTAAGAGCCAGGGAGGAGGGATGCAGGGGGGGGGTGCCGTATCGAGTCGGGGGTGGGGGTTCAGCTGTTATTTACTGTAGCCCCGAGGCAATTAGGATATTATCATATTAATAACATCCTCTCTCTGCCCACTACAGTAAAAAAAAAATTCTGTGGTTGTCCCACCTGATGACTGAAGCTTGTGTTGCCTTCCGAAAGGTCGTGATTTAGTTATTTTTATTTTACTTTATTTTTACCTATGTGACTTTATCGAAAGAACCAAAGAGTATGGATCCTAGCAGTCACGAAAACTTCAAATCTAGAATGAGAGTCAGTGTTCGTCAAATTAGGTACTCCTTCCTACTCTCATCGAGGCTCTCCGGGAAATTGGGGTCTTCACTCTGCAGCGTTGCAGAGGCAGCCTCCAGGCCTTTGGCTTCGTTTGTGCGATAGGTGCCTTTGTGGTGAAACAGGTACCGGCCGATGCCCACGAGCATGCACAGGATCACCAGGATGGACATGGCAATGACTCCTTTGTAAAAAAAAGCAGAAGAAAAGTGAAAACAATTTGACGGCAGCTATCAGCACAAAAAAGACAGTGCACCACAAAATGGTATGCGTACCGCAGTCTAAGCTGCTGATATGTGAGATCCTCCTTGTTTTTGTGCCTATGTACGAGTGTCTGAAGCCTTACCACCAACAATGGCCGTGTTGCTGCTGATGGGGCTGCTCTGGGGTTTCCCATCTTCTCCTGACACAAATGAAGTTGTCACTGGATCATAAGGAAAAGTGAAAGAACATGCCAAATTTGGAATGAAAAATACCGTCATACTTTGTGCTGAAAGTTAGAGATAATGCAAATAAAGGCTACAACAACACACCATGAAGACGCAGAAGTAGACCAAATGTATGAAGAAATTAACCATTTTTTTTACGAGGGCAAACCACATGACAAGAGACAGAAAAAGAAACACATGGGGGGATAGAGAGCAGATTCAAGGCATCATGTTGACTTAAGAAATGCAAGTGGGCTTTGACAGAACGCATTGTTTGAAGGATGACAACAGATACAAGACTGATGACAGAATGGAAACGTAAGGAACACTGTTCAAATAAACCTACCATTAAAATTATAGACTGATCATTTCTTTGTCAGTGGGCAAACGTATAAAATCAGCAGGGGATTAAATACTTTTTTCCCTCACTGTATATAGCTTTTTTTTAGAAGCGACCTGGTCAGAAATGATAGCTCCACGAAGTGGCTTATCACCTGGACATTTATTGCAGCCAAATACTCCAAAAGCATGTTTCTAAATGGGGAAGGAAAAACCGGAGGACCTGGAAAAAAATCCACGCGGCCACAGGAAGAATCTGCAAACTCCAAATAAACAAGCGTCAGGGTCGGGATTGAACCCACGACCTCCTGCATACCAGGCATGGTATTTAACGTCTCGCCAACAATTTGGTTAAATAATCTAGATAAATAAAGACCTTAATCTGTATGTCTCAAAAACCTCTAGGGTACTTCCCGACAAGGTATAAAGCTTAAATTTTGTACATAGGTAGCTTTTAGGACACAATAGGAAAAATCTGAAAATCCGAAGTTTTTCACTTTAAGGCCCCCAAATCTCGATTTTAATTGCTCCGTAAACATGTTTGGACATGTCATTCAAAAACCGTTCAAAATATAAGATTGCGTTTTTTTAAGTTTGATAGAGCATTAAGCAGCAAATATAATTAAAGCGAAAACCATTGGTTCTATCGTTTATTGTTTTTGAGATATTTTGGATTCAAGCCGGTTTGAACGAAAAAAATAGCATTTCATGATGTTCAAATCTGAATAATTCGAAAACTGGAAAAGACAGGAGCTTCCCCTCATGAGAGTATTACATTCAATATTTGTTATTCTAACTAATACAAAAATTACGAAATCTAAAAATTTAGCACCTCACGATGGTCGTCAATTTTTGTTATTTTTTTGCGGAAAAATACTAATTTTTGGAGTTGTTAGTAGTGTCTGATCGTAGATAAAATTTGTAAAAAATCATATAAGGTTAATTATATTTATTGAAACGTTTCCCTGGCGAAGACAGGCTTCATGAACTAGTAGGTAAATATCCTAAGTAGTATGCTTTCATTGTGTTTCATGTGTGTTAAATAATTTATTATATTACACATTTAAAATGCTTATAATCAGGGTGGAATACATTAGCAAGCGCAGCAAGATTTAATTTTGGTTATTACTCTTGTAAATTTAAAAGTGAAATAAAAATAAGGAGCATTTCGGTTTTAAAGCCAATCACAACCAAGCTAAACATACCTCTGCCGAACGAGACACTGTATATGCCTATTAAACAACATAAACTGACATCAACACAGCAATTTTGATATTGATTACATCAAAATTGGCTTTAAATGTAAAGTTGTGATAATTGCTCTACAGTAGTAATTCTGAAAATCTACAAAGCTGGGATTGCACGATTTGTATAACATGATCTTTAAATAAGTATGTTTTGTGGTTGGGGGGGGGGTGGTGACAGTCATCAAGCTGTCCATCAAAGTATCCTGCGAGCACAACCAAGGTTGGAGAGCTTAGAGGCGAGTGTGCTACACTAGCACATTACAAGGGTAAAGGCGCCTACCCGGCAGAGACCAGAGGTCCGTGCTAGTGGTGGGGGGCACGGTGGTCATGGGTAATGCCATGCAGGTGGACTCCACCAGCCACCCTTGCACAAACACTGGGGAGGCGAAGGGAGCAGGCGAAGAGGAGTCCAGCGATCGCTGCCTCAGGGCAGCCTTGAGTGGAGCAGCAGAGTTAAACTGAACACGAGACAGCCAGCCCACAAAGCCCTGCACGTTGGCCTGCTGCACCTCGTGATCGTTCACATCAAGATCTGCAGTGACGAAACAAAAACATGCATGAAGATGTGAAATCTGCCAATACCTAACTGGAATATGTTGCATACTAAGTGCTATGGAATTCCATCCCATCCCATCGTTCTTATAACCTTGCTTAATTTAAGAAACGAACTCACTTATATTTTATTACACCTGCATTGCTGGCTGCTTTACATTTTGAACATATGGGTCTGTGCTCAGGAACTGTGATTTGAATAATTATTGTAGGTGCTGGGATGGATTCTATCATGCCTCTATCGTTTTAGGTGCAAGTTTGCATGTCCTGTGCATCCATCAGACAGCAAACATTATCCGCTGGAATTACGTCTTAATTTTGTAATTTTGCAGGCCAAAAAAATGCAGTTACTACAGCTACAAAGTAAGACAAGGCCTGCACATATACCATGGCTTTTAGAACGGATGCCACCAGTTTGCAGTGAAGCATACGTTTCACATTTTATCTGGTATCACTTGAACAAACACAAAGCAAGCCACATGTACATTTGGGCACACACTGCTAAATAGAATATAAGAAACTTGATAATACAAAAAACTGCCTGAAAACCACGGTGACATAACTGAAGCTAAAACCAAGTGAGATATAGCATCAATAACTGTTGTGTCCCTTAAGAACAAAAAAAATAACATCCATAAAGGTGGCTCAAATGGAGACATTAATTGAACATATGAACCTTATGGAGGGACCCCGGGGACCCGAATAAACAGAAGTCAAAATCGTAATTAATAAATAACATTTTGGCAACTCCGTCCCACCACGCACATAAACGCCGCGCCCCATCTGGCGCGGATCATTCTGTTGTCATGTCGTCCAAGCGCTGCAAGGACGAATGCGCAGAAGAGCTGAACAAGCAAATGCTGCACTCCACGCTCGTGGATGGGCAGGATCATAAGTCTTATCCAAAGCTGCTCAAACTGCCTACACGACTTAAGTCCTTTATTTGTCATAACGGTAAGCATAATACAGTGAAACTGCTCTGTTATCTTCATTATTGTGACCTACCAATGTCTGCAGCCAGGATCAATCGATGACAATCCTATTACCTGCAGATATTTAACTGATGAGATACGTTGCACCGTTAATTCCTCCTGTTTGATACTTCTCTTGTCCGTATGCATCTGTGCTGATAGGTTTTTTTTTGCGGTTAAGCCATAGTCCCCACATATCAATGCGGATAAGAACGACGACCCACTACTCTGTAGAGTAACATTGGTATAAACGCTTGTTATAATATGAACAGCGCATTGAAAACGCGTACTATTTACTGTTTACAAAGTGTGTTCACACATCCACACTGAGAAACACGATGATTGACAGAGGGGTGTCAATTATTTTTTCGATAGTTTATTTAAATAGAGGTACTGCAGGTAAGTAGTTTTCAGTTTTAAAGGCATAGTTTAACAAGACAACACTTGCCACCATCCTTCAAACCCATTGGTGAAAAAGAGCAAAGTTTTTGTTTACATTATAAGATGTTTATGCGAGAGCCGGGGGCTTATGAGACCCCAGGGTCCCGCCATAAGGTTCATATGTAAAACTGCATGAACAATATCAATTTAAGCATCAGGTTTATGATACGAACATGCATTTAAATACCACACAGAAAATGCAAGTCTTGAGCAGGATTGACTCAAATGCTTTTAGCCCCATCATTAAAAGCACATGTTCTAGTTAACAGCAAAATCATTGGAAAGCATCTCTATTTAACTTATGGCCTTCCAATCTAAAAACAATTCTGTCATCTGCGATGGCATGATATGGGATGCCTTTATATGAAACAGTAAGTGAATACATTCGTAATAAAAACTGCCCTAAAAGGAAACAAATGCAGGCTACGTTTAAGGTATAATGGCACTACTTAATAGCACATTTCTATTCAAATTGTGTTATCGAGGGGTTTTTTGTTGTGCTTATGCACCACTGCCAATGCAGTATCACAAAAATGTGTTTCACAGGGAATCTGCATTTGTCAAATTGTTAAAATTTTAGCAAGCCACACATTTAAGCGTATTTGTTCCAAAAAAACAAATAACTTCAGAAAAGTGTGTTAACTACTGGACCATAATTGTAATACAGTATTGTAATGGAAGTCCTATTTTATGATTTTGTATTGTATTTTACCAACTTGTGGCAAAGGCTCTAATAAGGTTTCCAAATTATTTGCAAAAAAAAGACTCAAAGAACATATTGCAATGTTTTAATGTGTTAAGTTTGTTTAACACGTAGTAGGCTTTCGCGACCAATATCCGAAATAGGTTTTTTGGGTTAGATAGCGTAAATATATAAATGTGTCGTTAAAACCCGCCACCACCCGACACAGCCATCTAGTAAGGGTTGTCACGTGAACCGAACATGCCAATTCGTCACGAGCACAACACACCGGTGTGTTGGAGAGTCAAGCCACAACATTTACAATCTGAGTACGACGTTTCGCCAGTAATTACAACTATTCTATGGTTCTTTCAGTAAAGTCAAGTAGATAGAAATAAAAAAAATAAAGTGAATAAAAATATCACGTTTCGATCGCAACACAAGCGGTCGTCATCACGCAAAGGAGTCAGCCTCTAAAGGCTAGCTGTTTATAAAGGTTTGGGAATGGGCGTAGCCCAAGTGTATCAACAGCACCAGGAGTATGGGTGGTGCCACGAATGCCAATGCAACAATGCCAATGTAGCTATCAACAGCACCAAGAACATCGGTGTTCCACGAGTGCCAATGCAGCAACAATGCTAATGCGGTAGAATGCCAATGCAGCAACAAAAATCCCTGCACCGCGCTCCCCACATCACTCTGGTGACAGTGGAGGTTGATCGACAAGTAAACACAAGTCAAGTTCAAGTTCATTTATTAGGTGTAGCCCTGTGAGCCATTCGGCTCTTGAATCGGGTCCAACCGCAACAAACAAAAAACAAAAACATGAACAAGTAAACATCTTAAAGTGAATATGTGACTAAGTGCAAACAGAAAATCCAAGAAAAGACAGCAAAATATTGCAGAAAAAGCACCGTACACCAACGCTGTGTGCAGAAATCCCAGTGGGATGCAAGTCAAACAACAACAACTACAAGACAACTTAGATTAAGGCCATCAGTCTTACTCCGTACCACAACAAACAAACAAGGCTAAACGAATAAACTTTTCGAACTCACCAAAATAAAGCTATGAAAGCAATGAAACTGTGATCATAGGAACTGACAGAATTTTCACAAAAAATGACATAAACAACATGTACTACCAAAACCCTGCAGCCATAGCTGGCTGTCAAGTCATGACCCAAAGTGGTTGATGACATCTTTCCAATTATTGCTGAGTCAATAACCTTCCTCTCACACCCCCCCCCCTCCGTAGCATCCAGCTGTCCCGGCTGCCAACTCCCCCGCAAGAAAGCAACCGACGGACATACATAAAAAAACAAGCAAGTGTGCTTCAACAATAACATAACAGCGCAATAAATGTCCCAACCCCAACTGTACAATATATACACCGAGATAAAAAAAAAACACACAAAAGCCAAAACAATTAAGAACCCAACAATCGCGTCATACAAGATCCCCACAATCAACATCTCCCACCCACAACGTGTAACAACGCCTGTGAGCTCGATGGCGAGCAGGATCAGCCAAATACTTGCCACGACTCATGCGAGTGCAACAACCCATGACGGTGTGGGAGTGTGCACTGTGCGGGGATCATGCAAATCGAGTCTTTGAGCGAGTCCACGATGCTGGGCCTCCAGGCGAGTTGGGCTCGTCCGCCTTGGAAGGCCCAAAGCCCCTAATGCATATATTATCAGAGTATGGTTTTGTTTGCATTCTGACCACAAGTATTGTGGTTAATGCAGACATGATTCCTTGTAAAAGGTTTCAGTTTGGTGTTTTAACATCTCAACACCTGTTTATTGCCAGAAAAAAGGGGAAAACCTATTCGAAAGGTGACTTCTATAAACAAAAGGAAGGGGCAGCAATGGGCTCTCCTGTCTCTTGTAATAGCGAATTTATACATGGAATATTTTGAAACAAAAGCAATAGCTTCAAGCACACAAACCCTTTGCTTGATTTAGATATGTGGATGACACATTAGTGGTCTGGCCACATGGCAAAGATAAACTGTACGCATTTCTAAATCATATCAACTTGCAAAACCCATCCATCCAGTTCACCATGGAAGATGAAGCTGACAAAAGTCTACAATTTCTAGATATTCTGGTCGGATGGGGTCTAAATGGTGAAATAACCAAGAAGAAAACGCATACTGACGCCTATCTGAATGCAGAGTCACACCATCACCCCATACAGAAATCTTCTCTTATCAAGATGCTCATTCATGAGCTAAAAAAGTGTCAGATGGTGACAATCTGAGAAGTGAAATTCAGCATGTTAAACAAGCACTGCAATTGAACAGTTACAATTATGCACAAATCAACAGGGCATAGAATGCCAAAACCAAATCAAATAACACGAGCATTGAAACTGCACAAGTAATTAAAATGATCAAAATACCGTACATTGCGGGAGTAACTGATGAAAACTAGCATTATGTTTGGTAAAACAAAACATCCGAGTCAGATATGGCACGGTACATAAAATACAGAAATTAATATCTGGTACAAAATATGTATTACCGAAGCTATCAACAGAAGCTGTGTACAGGATTAACTGCACATGTGGCAAATGTTACGTTGAGCAAACAGGACGAATGATCAGCACAAGACTAAAATAACATCAGAGAAATATTAAATACTCTCAAATACAACTGTCAGCAGTAGCAAAACATGCGTGCCAACAAGGACACTCAATTGATTTTGATGTTGAAGCTCTGTGCATAACTACCTACTTACTGGCCAACACTAATTAGATAATCTATCGAAAATGAAAGAAATAAAAATAATTTTAACCGTTCAGATAGCTACCGCCTTAGTGCAACGTGGAAGCGAATCATCAAATAATACATTATTTAATTCCATGAATATGAAGGGCA